GTGTGTGTGTGTGGAGGGGGGCGGGGTGCGCAGTGGTGTTGACAAGCAGGACATCAGAGAGCAGGGACCTCCGTTGGGCGGGCGGCCACTGAACAGTGGCACAAAAGCATGGGCCTGCACAACAGCCATGAAATTCACCATGGAGGTGACAGCAGGCGTCAACATACTCTGAGGGGCCATAGAATTGGCCCCAGTGTTGGCGACCCTGCCCTCGCCCTAATGCCACCGGACCAGGCCTGCTCGGCGCGTTACCGCCCGAGGGCAAAGCGTCCCCCCCCCACACCTGCAGTGCGTCCACCGGGACTGCGCCCTTGGCGCCGGCCGCCTTGACGGCCTTGCTCCAGTAGAGCACCGCCTTTGAAGAGGGGATGGCAACAGCGGGAGGTTTGAACAAGGGTGGGAAAGGGCGGAAGGCTTGAGAAATGGTGTTGATAACGTCAGGGATGCTTACGCACAGGGATGCAGGAGGCGGGGTGCCCTGGAAGGCCGGCAGAGGGTGCGTAGTGCAGGCACATGCGCAGCCCCGCCAGACCCACGGCCGCGCGGAGGCGGCGCCTGCAACACACACGGGCGAGGCGGGCCCACGGGTGCGTCAAGCCCCACCTGGTCAACGTTGCCCGCGCAGACGTAGCAGAGGGAGGCGGCGTGGTGCATGCCAGTCTGCGCCAGCCGCGACGCGAGCGCGTCGCACAGCGAGGCCCACTGGTCCGCGCCTGCGCGGGCGCGGGCGGGGTTTTGTGGTGTATCAGAGGCTGCGATCTGGATCGATCTAGATCACAAGTGATCAGCACCAGGACAGGCGCCGGGCGGTCACTGTGAGGGCCGTAAACCCTTTGATGCAGCTGGAGAGCATGAGCGGACGGACAGCCCTTGGCGGATTGCGGGTTGGTGCAGCTGCGCGCGCGGCCAAACACGGGCGCCTGCGGGCCGCGCGCCTGTGTAGGTGGCGAGCACCGCGAGCGTCTCCTTCCACTGGCCCACGGGGCGCGTCTTCACGAGGGACGCGTAGTCGCCCTCCACCATGCTGGACAGGATCTGTGTGTGTGTGTGTGTGTGTGTGTTGAGGGGGATAGGGGTCAGGGTTGACCGCGGGGTATCGCAGGAGGGGCGGCGGAAGCTGGTTTGATGAGTAGGGGAGGCGGGCCTGGGGCGCAACGCGCGTGCGTCTGCTTCTGCGCCGGACGGCACCTCAGCGCCGAGGCGTGGTGCGCGGCGGCTTTGGGTACGCGGTGCCTTGCGCGCCGACTGACCAGGTCAGCCGCCGCCGCCGCGGGGCTCCGGCCGCCGCTACCAGCGCACCTATCAGCCACACCCGCCTGGCCCCACCCACAACAAGCGAGCTGCGCGTCAACCCAGGCGCCGGGCGCACCGTCATGTAGGGCCGCGGGCTGCGGCGCATGTAGCGGTGCATGGCGCGCTTGAAGAGGTCGGCGCCGCCGATGTTGGCAATCAGCAGCGCGTCCGCCAGGCGGCTGGCCTACGCAAGAATGGGGGGTTGAGGAGATAGACGAGAGCACGGCGGTGCTATCAGTTAGTGCTGCGCAGGATCCTTGTTTGGCAGCGGCGCAATCACTTGCCAGCACCCTGTGTTGGCTGTATTCAACACGCCAAGGCAGGCTTGCGCGGGCAGGATCATGTGCTGCAACTGCCCCGCACCGCCCCAACTGCGGGGTCAAGCACCAGGTGCCCCCGCAACCCCCACGCGCCCCTGCAGCCGCCAGGCAGTCCATGCTGCGGCCGCGAGGCGGCCGCACCTTGAAGCACAGCTCCACCGCGCCCTCGTAGTTGCCCACGAACAGCGCCTTCTGGATATCCTCCTCCCCCTCCGCCGCGGGCCCCTCCCCCGCCCCCGC